ATCTTCAGATAGAGTGGGAGGGAGGGGGAGAGAGAGAGAAACAGCGACGTGAGAGAGACACATCGATTGGTTGCCCCTCACACGACCCCAACCAGGGCTGGGGACCCAAGCACAACCGGGCCACATGCCCTTGACTGGAATCAAACCCACAACTCTTCCATCCGCGGGCTGACGTGCTAACTGCTGAGCCAAACAGGCCAGGGCTACATTTCTTTTTCTTGCCTTATTCTACCTGCTAGAATCTCCACTTTACTGTTGCGTGTACGTGATATAAACAAGTTCCTGATCTTCAGGGGGAAAGTCGCTTGTCTTTACGGTTATTGGCTGTCGTTTTTGATGTGGTGGTTGATCACCTTTATCAGGTGGACGTGTCTCTTCCCTTTCTTGTTTGCTGCGACCTTTCAGGAGGAGGGCCCTGGGATTCTGTCCAGTTCTTCGTCCGCATTCACTGGGGTAATCGTGGGGTGTTTCTTTCTCGTTTGTTCCTGTGCCCAACTGACCGGTTTTTAGAATGTCCAACACACTTTGCAACCCCGAGCCCCAGCTGGTCACAATTTAGCATCTTTTTACTATATTGTTTGACTTGCCAAAATTGTGCTTAGGTTTTGTGGTTTCTTGTTTTGTTTTTTTCCATGAATGTTCACGAGGGTTACTTGGCTATCGCTTTCTCCTCCCGTAATACCTGTGGCTGGTTTTCATATCGGGGCTTCCTAACGCGTTCGGAAGTATTCCTGCCTTTTCAACTTTCTAGAGAATGTCGTCTAGGATTGATTTTATTTTTTTCTCTCACATGTTTGTAAACACGGTCCTGGGATATCCTGTGGGAGGATGTTTTTAACTACAACTTTGACTTTATTAACCAACATGGAACCATTCAAGGTAGCCAGTTCCTGAGCAGTTTACATCTTTGCAGAAATGCGCCCATTTCACCGGAGATGCTGAATTTAAACAACCGTGCAGAATATTCCCTTGTGATCCCTTTACTGTCGGGATAACGTGTCCTGCACGCTGATCATTCCAGCCTTCTTTGTCTCCTGATGTGTCCGGGTAGAGGTTTACCAATTCTATTCATCGTCTTAAAAAATCAGCTTCTGTTTTCATTATTTTTCCTATCGCGCTCCTGTTTTGGACATCATTCACCTCCCCCTCTGATCTGCATTGTGTCCTTGCTGCTGTTTCTCCCAGGTTTCCTTTGCTCTTCGCTTCCGGTTTCTTCGGGGCGAAGCCAGGCTGTCCCCCCTGGTTTCTGCGCCCCGGAGAAGAGGCAGGAACTGGGAACCGAGATTCCGCATGCACACCTGGCCGCTGGGAGGCTGGACCCATCATGAAGGGTGACGAAATCAGACAAGCAAAGCAAACCACACTGGCCAGTGGAGGGGAAGGAGGCAACCCACCGTCTTCCCTGTTTTCTCCGAGTCTAAGTAAAGGTCCCCTCTTGGTGTGCGTGGCTCAGGCTTGCTGTCACGAGAGGCAGCTGGCCCGGGGAACCCCACCCCTACAGACCCACAGCACAAATGTCCTGGACCAGCTGACTGAGTCCCCTGCGCAAGCAGAGGGACACTTTCTCCTCCATCTGAACCCCGGGACTGCACCGATTAAAGCCTCCACAGCCACAACCTCAGCTCACGAGCCACGAGCCACGAGATGCCACGTGTGTCAGGAAATACCCCAGAGATGAAGCTGTAGGGCAGAGACGACAAAATCAACATGCTCAAGGGACCCGAAAGTCCAAAGTCTGAAGTCTGAAGGAGGCTGAGACCAAGCAGAAGCCACTCGGAAGGACACACAGACGTGTCCCCAAGTCCGCAGTCCCCCTTCCGCTGGTTTTCAGCTCCTCGTCCTCGCCTCAGCCCCATTGTGACAGTCATTTCAGGCCCTGGCCAGCCTGCCCCCATGTCCTGCCTGCTGTGTCACCCCAGGCGAGCCAGGGAGAGCCCAGAGCCGACCCACGGCCACCCCTGCTCTGTGGAGCTCGGGGACCTGGCCTCTCCGATGCCGGGGTCCTGGTCACTACCATGCCGAGGCCTCCAAAGCAACACCAGCGCGTGAGGGGCCCTCGGGGGCTGCCACGTGAGGTGGGCGAGGTCAGCATCCACCTCACACACGAGGTCACCCAGTGAGGGCGTGGAGACGCCAGGAGGCACGACTGTCCCCCAGGCTGCTCACGCTGTTCCTTTCCCTCCCCAGCTCTGCTCGGCCACAGTCACCCCTCAGAAACCCGTCAGTCAGAGGCCCGCCTTCCTCTCGGGACGGTCAGGCCCCTGCCACCTCCAGGGGCCTCACCTGCTCTGCACAGAGCAAGAACCTGCAGGAGGCTGGAGCTGCGGAGGCTGGGCCCTGCGCCAGCCTTCACTGAGCCGGGCCACCAGCTGTGGGTGCGGCATCTGCCTGGACAGGGGACCTGCCTGGCGGTGCCAGCAGCTTCGACGAGGCTCTGGAGGCCATGGACATGAGTGACACTAGGCCTGAGGGTCACAGGACAGAAGCTCAGAGACACTGAGCCCGAGACACGGAGAGAAAGCACCAGGTGGGGAGAGGTAGGCAGGTGGGTGCTGCGTGCAGGTGGGCACTGTGTGTAGGCGCTGTGTGCAGGTGTTACGTGCAGGCATTGTGTGCAGGCGCTGTGTGCAGGTGTTATGTGCAGGCATTGTGTGCAAGTGCTGTGTGCAGGTAGGCACTGTGTGTAGGCGCTGTGTGCAGGCGCTGTGTGCAGGTAGGCGCTGTGTGCAGGTGTTGTGTGCAGGTAGGTGCTGTGTGCAGGTGGGCACTGTGTGTAGGCGCTGTGTGCAAGTGTTATGTGCAGGCACTGTGTGCAGGTAGGCACTGTGTGCAGGTGTTACATACAGGCGTTGTGTCCAGGTGTTGTGTGCAGGTAGGTGCTGTGTGCAGGTGGGCACTGTGTGTAGGCGCTGTGTGCAGGTGTTACGTGCAGGCATTGTGTGCAGGCGCTGTGTGCAGGCGCTGTGTGCAGGCATTGTGTGCAAGTGCTGTGTGCAGGTAGGCACTGTGTGTAGGCGCTGTGTGCAGGCGCTGTGTGCAGGTAGGCGCTGTGTGCAGGTGTTACATACAGGTGTTGTGTCCAGGTGTTGTGTGCAGGTAGGTGCTGTGTGCAGGTGGGCACTGTGTGTAGGCGCTGTGTGCAAGTGTTATGTGCAGGCATTGTGTGCAAGTGCTGTGTGCAGGTAGGCACTGTGTGCAGATGTTACATACAGGCATTGTGTCCAGGTGTTGTGTGCAGGTAGGTGCTGTGTGCAGGTGGGCACTGTGTGCAGGCGCTGTGTGCAGGTGTTACGTACAGGTGTTGTGTCCAGGCGCTGTGTGCAGGTAGGCACTGTGTGCAGGTGTTGTGTGCAGGTAGGTGCTGTGTGCAGGTGGCCACTGTGTGCAGGCGCTGTGTGCAGGTGTTACGTACAGGCGTTGTGTCCAGGCGCTGTGTGCAGGCCCTGTGTGCAGGTAGGCGCTGTGTGCAGATGTTACATACAGGCATTGTGTCCAGGTGTTGTGTGCAGGTAGGTGCTGTGTGCAGGTGGGCCCTGTGTGCAGGTAGGCGCTGTGTGCAGCTGTGTGGAAGTGTGCTGTGGACAGGTGGGTGCTGCAGACGGGCACTGTGCACTGGCAGGGAGGTGACCTCAGCCTGACACTCCAGTTGGCGCAGCACCTGCAGTGCACCTGCAAGGTTCAGAGAGGCCTGGGCCGGGCTGGGCGGTTGAACCTGGTGAAGCTTCAGGCCCCACACTGCATGGGAGCTGGGGCCACGGGTCTTCCCCAGTGATGGCATCGGCCCGGATTCCCACCCCTGCTCCGCACCAGGGCTCTCCATGGCCCCCGCCTCGGGTAACCTGTGGGGTGGGGGCCACATTGAGTCCTGGGGGCCTGGTCGCCCACTCTGGCTCCAGAACTCGGTGGCGCTGGGCTGGGCTGACTTACCGAGTTGGGGGAGGAAAACCCCTCGGTGCGGAGCGCCCATACCAGGCGCCTACTCGGGGCGCTCGGGCCTCATCAGCATTCTGCAGGCAGCGCTGGGGACTGGGCAACACCCGCGGGCTGAATGGACTCAGCGCTGGCCACTCTGCATTCAGCCAACGGCAGGGATGCTTCTCCCCACACCCGACCTGCCCATTAGCATTTGCAGAAAGCCCCTATTTGCATCACGACAATGGTCCTGCCCCCGAATCCGGAGCTGTGGGGGCACTGGGCATCCGCTGCCACAGTTGTCCTTTGTGCCCGCTCCAGGGGCAGGCGGAGAGCACATCACGGGCCCGCCGAGCATGGCGGGCCAGAGCCGCATCCAGGCGGCATCCAACGAGGCCACGGGAGCCTGGTGCCCTACGGGTGGACGCCAGCTCGGCCTGCCCGCCCGGCTCCCCAAGCGGACGTCCACGGCCCCTTCCCAGAACGCTTCCCGCCCTCCTGCCGGGCACAGCCACCAGACACAGGAGACACATCGAGGGTCCGCTGCCCCGAGACACGTGGTTGGTGGGCCGGGCACCAGCGCCCACGAGCACAGAGCATCGGGAACAGTACGAGCATGTCACCCTCTGCTGTCTCCAAGGCAGTGGCGCTGTCCTCACAGCCGCCGCCAGCCGGACGCTCCGCTGGGCTCCGGGGGGTGCCCAGCGGAGGAGGGGTGGGCGCCGAAACCACGAGAGCAACGCACGGGGGAAGGGCACACCCGTGGCTCCGGGCCCGGCGTGCACGCCACCGGAATGGGGGTCGGCACATGTGGACGCCTCCTCTTTGCCACACTTGGGCATCAGCCACCCTGCATGACCGAGGCAGGGCCCGGTGCCCAGCAGCCCAGAGTCCAGGACAGACAGGAGGAGGGTCCCTCCAGGTGGGACCGGCCAACAGGCCTCTGCCAGGCAGGCACAAGGCCAGCGGGGGCCAGCGTGAGGCCTCGGGACACCTGATGCCCACCAGAGCCGGTGGGTGGTCCGGGGTGGCGGGCAGCCGGGGACTGAGCCCAGTCCGCCCTCAGCCTCCCGGGGACGGGTCCTCACCGGCACTGTCGTAGCTGTCCACGGAGAAGTGGTCCAGCCTCCGGTCCTCCGAGGCGGGGTCGCACGTGATGTGGGGGACCGTGAGTGTCTTCTCCCCCACACTCACCCCGTTGTCCCTGTCTAGTTTGAACTTCTTTTTCTTTACCTGAAAACAAAAAAACAAAACAGACAGTCATTGGCAGTTCATGTGTGGGCTCCGCCGGCCCCAGAACACCTGAGCCAGGCTGCTGGGCTCAGCAGGGAGCCGGGGCTCGGGGGCCCAGCTCCAGCACCTCCCACGCAGAGGGTGGCGCCCTGTGGTCTCGTGGGGGCTCGGCCCAGTCGCAGCCCCGAGCGCTGGTGGCCAGGGGACAGGTGGACCGGACACCGCAAGCAGATGAATGTACAAGCACACTCCGGGGCGGTGGTGACAAGGGCCGGGGCCCCACGGGGCCAGCAAAGGCCTGGAGAACGAGACCCGGAGGACGGAAGGGACAGGCCACGTGGAGTCTGGGAGATGTTCTGGCCAAAGGAACGGCGGCTGCAAAGTGTCCACGTGGAGCTGGATCCTTCCCAGGAGGGTGTGGGCAAGGGCCCCCCACCTTCACTCGCCGCCCGCCACACGGCGAGACCGGCCCGAAGCCTCCGTGCTCCCCTAGCCGCGACCCAGCCAGGGCGCCAGGCCCAGCCAGGACGCCAAGGCGCTCGAAGAGCCCTCCTCTCTCCAGCAGCAGCCGGGACCCAGCCTGTCCGCTCCAGGGAGCCTCCCCTGGGCCGCCGTGGCCCTGGGCTTGAGCCTGGGACCGTGGGATGGTGGGGTCCAGCGCGGGGTGTACACTCCCAGCGCCCAGAATGGTGCCAACACTCTGAAGGCCCAGGCTTGAACCCTGGCCAGGAGCTCACCGCACAGCCTCCCTGCCCGCTCGAGGGCCCGTCTGGTGCAGTTACCATGGCAGACTTCTTGGGCTTGGGACTGGGGGAGAGCAGAGGGTGGCCCCGGATCGGCTTCCGCACGTAGATTTTCCAGGTGGACGAGTCAGGGTTCTCGGCAGCATAGCACCTCCACGCTGTCTGGGGTCGGAAGGGGAGGCTGTCACCTGCCAAGGCGCCGGGCGAGGCCTCGTGCAGAAGCCGCAGCCCACTGATCCTGCCTGTGCCCCCGCCTGTGTGCCAGCACCCAACCCCAGGCGCAAGCCGGGCCCCTCACCTCCCGGAGCTCTGCCCACAGCCTGGCTCAGCTCCGCCCTGTGCCGGGCAGCACCCCCCTCACAGGCTGTCACTTGCAACTCAGACCCCCAGACACCGCGACTGTGACCCCTCCTGTAGGATGGCCCACGGCTGCCTCTCCTTGGGGCAGGCACAGCAAGGGCAGGGACAGGTGCAGACCGGGACCGCCCCACTCCCGCCAGGAGGCCTGGAGCTCGGGGGGCACCAGGAAGGGCACGGAGGAGCAGGGCTCCTGGGGCTGGTGGGGGCAAGACTGAGGAGCCAGGAAGCGGAGCCCCCCTCTCAGTGCCCAGTGGGGGCCCAGGTGCTTGGCGTGGCCCTGCAGCGGTGGGGGCCTCCACGTGGAGGAAGGTGGGCAGGAGCCCGCGTGGGGACGCGTCCGGGGGCCCTGTCCCTGTTGGCTGTGGAGCCCGCGGGGGGATGAGGTGGGGAAGGGGCTGGTCCACTGGTGGAGCCCCTGGGGGCAGAGAGGCCACCTTGGCAGGAACCTGGCAGTCCTCACACCCACCAGGAGGCAGGGATGGGCCACAGGAAGCCAGTCCGCTTCCATGTCCTCGTCCCAAGCCCCAGCGTGTGTCCTGCCACAGACACGACCGCCCGGCCACCCCCCTTCCTGCCGTGGTTCACGTCACGGCCCCTTCCGCTGGGCCTGGCTCCGGGCCTCCCGTGGCGGCGTGTCCCGCCCCCTGAACCCTGCACTCCTGAGGACGGTCCCCCGAGAGGTGATGCGGTTCTGGGAGCCCCGTGAGGGCCTCCTGCAGGCTGTCTGCCCACGGGCCAGGCCTGAGGTACGGGGTCTGCGGAAGGAGAACTGGGCCGTAACTGGGCCTGAGGAGAGCCCACCCCCGGCTTTATGGCCGCTGCCCATTTCCTGTCTGTCCGGGTACAGCGTCCAGGCCCCAGGTCGAGGGTCCCGGATGGGCTTCCGAGGAACGTGGTGAGGCCGCCGCTGAGGCCTGGCGGCAGCTCCCAACCGCTGCTCACCCCTCCCCGTGGCCTGGTGGTGGAGCTCAGGAGACTAGGCTGCGGATGGGACCCCAGAGCATCCTGGGGGGCATTCTGGGCCTCAAAGGGGTCCACCCTGTGCTGAGACACCCTGTTAGGCAGGGGGTCCCACATCCATGGCCAGACACCCGCTCCCGGCCCGCTCCCTCCTTGGGCAGGCCCTGGGCCCTCTTCTCCCTGCTCCTTGGCCCCGCAGGGCCAGTGCCCAGAACCCTCGGGATGCGAGCGCAGGCAGAGCTTTGTCCCAGTGCCGCCAAGGGGCCGCCTGTTCTCTGCTGGGTCCTGGAGCCCGGTCACAGACCAGAGCCATGAATCCAGGCGCGGGGCCGCCGGCACCTGGTCCACCGCACCTACTCACTGCTCTGACTCCGCCTCCCCCGGCCCCGCCCCGGGACAGCCCGTCAGAGACCCTGGCTGAGGGGAGCGAGGGGCCGGCTCGCCTGGGTCCCCAACGGGCACTCAGCACAAGCACACCCAGAGCCACGGGGCTAAGCGCGGCCACAGCGGGGCCGTCTGAGAGCTGAGCTGTGTCAGAGCACCGTCCCCACCTGCCGTGGCCACGGTGCACGAAGCCTGCAAGTGGCCGGACATGCCGATGCTGCGCAGGCAGGGCGCTGACCACCTGGGGGACGGCCGCCTGTGGCCCCTTCTCCCTCCCAGACTTGCTCCCAGGCAGAGCGAGGGCAGGGCCTCGGGGAGACAAAATCGGGGGGAACACCAAAGCCGTGGGGCATGGCGAGGGGCCCACCAAACTGCTACAGCAGGTCCCTCGTGGCCAGGCCACCTCTCACCCCCAGCCCAGCCTGCAGGGCGTGACTACCCAGGAGGCCTCATGGGGCTTGGCAGAGGGAGGAGGGCTCTGTGGTGCCCGCCCTCTGGCATCGCCTGGGCATTTCCCTGAGCAGCAGTTACGCAGGGTGAGCACGTCCGCTGGGGAGGCGACTCGTCCACATTCTGCAGGATCTGCAGAGAAGGGTCTTGGGGGCCAGGTCAGCCCAGGCCAGGAGCAGTCCCCACGCCCAGAGTGGACACTTGCTGCTTGTACCCAGCGGACACAGCCGGACACGCGGTGGCAGGGAGGCCGCCAGGCAAGCACCTCACCTGGATGAGCGAGGCCGCCGCCGGGATCTGCCGGTTGAAGTGCTTCTGCCTCTGCTTCTGCTGGACCTTCAGCGCGAACCCGGAGCCGAGGATGCCCTGAGGAGAGCGGCCGGCTCAGGGCTCCACGGCCCATCCCTGAGGCCTGAAGGACCCGCAGCCGGGGAGGTGGGTGGCATGGGCCCCAGATGGAGCCAGCAGCTCGGGCCAGCCCGCTGGGGCAGGTGGCCCCCCCGACGGGCCAGGATGGCAGACGGTGGGGCCCAGCTCATCAGAGAGGGAACTCTCCGTCCAGAGGGGTCCGAGTCAGACACAGACATGCGCGCATGCATACACACACACTCCACTGTGCTATAGCTGTGACATGTATGCACCCCACATGCTATACACACACACACACGCGCAACGCATGTACACACAGAACACAGGTGTAGACAAAGCACACGCGTGCACGCAAGCACATTTAAATACACAGTATGTGTACACCGGAGTGACATGTATACACGTAAAACACACATGCACACCCAACATGTGTGTACACAGCTCTAGTATATGGCACACGGGCACACACACCGTGCACGCACCACACGCACACACCAGCGTGCACCAGGAGATTCACCCCCCACAGGCTGTAATTTCTAGAAAGGACAGGGATCAAAGCCCCTCCCGGCCACAGTGCAGGGCCACAGTGCAGGACCACGTGCGGCCCACCAGGTGCACTCAGGTGGCGGCTGCCATGGGGCTCGCCCTGCCCCTCGTGGACCAGATGAGCCGCCCGCACCGCTGTGCACTGGGAGAGACCCCCCGCGGGCTGCCCCGCACTCATCATGGGGACCTGCTGGGCCCGGGCGGTGAGCCAGGCTCGCCTGTGCTGCCTCCGTAGGGACCCTGCCCAGCCGGAGCCCACTGGAGGCCCTGAGCAGCGGAGACGCCCCCGCGGAGCACCTACCGCTGGGAGCGCGAAGAAGGAGATGGCGAAGACAGAGAAGCAGGAGGCGATGGTCTTCCCGACCCACGTCTGGGGCACTTTGTCCCCGTAGCCAATGGTGGTGACCGTGACCTGCAAAGGGGAGGGACAGTGGTCAGCGGTCGAGGTCTCAGACCCTCAGCAGGGGCATCTGTCCAACCTGAACACACCTCCACCCACCACCTGCGAACAGAGACCAGGGGTCTCACTGAAAGGGCATCGCCCAGCCAGAGCCACTGTGTGGCACCGCGGGTGGTCGGGTCCCCCAAACTGCGCCCTGCAACGGAGCAGCTCACCGGGGTGGGCACGGGGCCCCGGCGCCTTTGGAAAACCAGGGCCACCCCTCGGAAAGACCAGGCCTGGCCACCGCCTGCCGCCGCCCGCCTGCCCGTCCCGGAGGGGCTGCCACCCAGGCCACCGACGTCGCTGTGCACCGGCCCCCAGGAGGCCAGTCCGCGACAAAGAGCCGGACGGGGATGACACGCCACTTCCTGACGCCACCCCAGCACCACATGTTTCTTGTGTCTTTTTTTTTCCCCCAAGAGAAGCAGACACAGCTTGATCCCTCCTGGTGGGGGGCCGTCCGTCCAGGGCTGTGTTGTCACAGTGGGGCTGGGGCTGCTCCCCCGGGCTGGCCTCCTGCTGCCATTGACATTCCTCCCCAAGGTCCCCAGTGTGCTCCTGAGGGTGACATACAGCAGGGACGCTGTCCCTGCCCCCAGCGGACCCCCAAGTCTGGGCTGTGGGCTGCTGGGTTTCCCAGGGGCTGCTGGAGCCCGACAGGGTCCAAGGATGCCCAGGTCACAGCTGTCCTGTTGGCACTTACACCTGTACATCAAGACAGCAGGCCTGGTGGCCCAAAGTGCCCGTGTGAGATCGTCCCAGCTGGGCCTGCCTGCCCCATGGACCTGCCAGCCCCGTGCCGGGCAGCCCAACTTCTCCCCTTAAGGGTGGGAAGCCAGACCAGGCCAGTGACAGTAGCCTCCGCGGGCCCGGGGACTCTGCGGGGAGCCTCCTCTTGACCCCCCGCCCCGTGAGCTGGTGTAGGGGGTGGGGACACGGAGGCAGGGCCTGGGAGGCCCACTGAACAGCCTCCGCGCACCTGAAGGGAGGCCCGCACAGGCCCCACGGGGTGCAGGGACGCATGGAACCACTGGAGCGAGGCCAGAGGCCGGCAAGAAGCAGGAGCGGGGAAGGAAGCCCGGCGGCAGGAAACCGCACAGGACACGGAAGACGCAGGAGCACGGAGCCGCCACCAACCGGGGCCCATCAGTGGGCGCTCACTCGCAAACCGGCCTCACACTGGTGGACACCACACACACGCCCCAGGATGTGCAGGGCCTGGTGTGCAGGCAGGCACTTGGCACACACATACATGCAGGGTGCACACACGTACACGCAGGGTGCACACATGCGCATGGCAAGGTCACACAAAGGGGCTGCTGCCGTGTCGACCCCGGGCACATTCTCACCCAACACCTCACATCCACATCGCATGCACACACACCGTGCACACCTGGAGCACGGCCCGGGGACCTGCAGGGTGTAGCCAGGCCATCCTGGGGCCACAGGCAAGGCTGATGGCCGCCTGGCAGATAAGGGGACCTTGGGGGAGACCAGGGGCCCCTTGTGGGCAGGGCATCCTCCCTGGAGGGCTGGGCACTCGGAGCAAAGGCAAATCTGGGGCTGCACATGGGGCAGGGCACCAGAGACCCTGCCCCCAGCCCTCTAGGCAAGAGCACTTTTTCATGAGCTTGTTTTATTTACGTGCACCTATATTACTAACATAGGGCAAACATGTATTCTTTTTGAATGACTTAATATGAAAACATTAAAAAATTTCTCAGTTTTCTAATGTATTAAGTATCAATAGACATGACCCACATGAACACAAGATCTCTGGAATGTTTGATAATTAAGAGTATAAAGGTCCTGACAAGGACTGCACAGCAAGGTGACCTCTGAGTGCCCAGTGGGGCACTCATGCCTGGGGTACAAAGTTTAAAGGGGTGCCAGAAAACAAAAAAAATGACATTTAATGCGACCTTTTCAGTGATCAAAATGCACGCAGGTGGGAGGAGGAAGGGCCAGCTCTAAGGCTCTGGGGCAGAGAAAGCGGTGGCCAGCGAGGAAGCCTGGGACCTTCTCCCTCAGCAACAGAGCCCCGGGGGACGGGGGTGGGGGGCCCACACCAGCTGGGAGGTGCAGGGACTGCCCGCTCGCTGGTCAGCACAGGTTGGGGTGCCCCGGGCCAGGGGTCCCCGCCCCCACCGGGAGCACACACGCCCAGAGCGGGGACGCAGGCCCCTCGGCCCTGCCACAGGCCCTCTTTGTCGAGTTAACGACGTCCTTCCAGGAGACCCGGCCCCCAGGGCCGTTTGTTTTCCTGAGCTCACAGACACAGGCCGGCCGGGACGTTTTACAGCTGCTGTGCTCGGGACGTGCCCCCGACGAGGGTGAGCTGGAGTGCAGATCGGCACGTCCGCGGGCCCACAAACTCGGGGGGGCGCAGTGAGGCCACTGCAGCCCCCCCCCGGGCGCCGGGCAGCTCGGGCGTGACCCCGCGGACGTGGTGGGCCTGTCACAGGCCTGCGGAGCCATCCTCGTCCTCCCGGAAGCCTGTGTCTGCGTTCACATGTCGAAGGACAGGACGCGAGAGAACCTCCCAGCTCCCCCTTCCCCAGCCCCCAAGCTCTGTCCCGAGAAACTGGCGCTGGTACCACTGTAGTCTCTCCAAGGAGCTAGCGGGCCGGCCAGAAACCTTGACCTCACTGGGCAGGAGGGCAGCCTTCGGCCGCCACCGCAGGCCGGGCACATCTGGATGTGTCTTTCCAGGGGGAGGGGCGGCCAGGAGCAGACACTTGGGGCTCACCACGGGTGGCACCTCCATCTGACAAACTGAAACTGATGCCCTGAGTGAGGGGTCCATGCTACGAAGGGGGAAACAGGCTGGGGGGCACTGGGTCAGAGGGATCCCTGCTGGTAAGGGACGGAGCTGGCATGACCCCAAGGCCTGCACAGCCCCGGACTCTGCACCCGGACGCCAGGAAGGCCGGGCAACTAAGCGAAGGCAAGAGGCTGCCCCGTCACAGCCCAGACCTCACCCACCCTCCAGCCACCAGGCTGCCCGGAGGAGGCTGGGAGGGGGCAGGACCCTCTCAGGGCAGCCACAGTCGAAGCAGCGGACCCGAGTGGTTTATCTTCCCACTATGCACGCGGTGCAGCCCCGCCTGGGCACCGGCCAGGTCCCGTGTCCCTGCCCCAGTGCGGCTCATGGACAGCCGAGCACCAGCCAGACTGGGTCCGGACACTCAGATTGTTGAGAAGGGCCTGTGCCGGGGGCCCCGTTACAGCAGCACAGCTGGGGGTCAGGACCTCTCCCCCCCGCCTCGGGAACGGTACCCAGAAGCCCCACACAGAGGCCGACAGGAGGCTGTGGACACCCAGGCGAGGGCAGGGCCCGTCCCGGCGCACAGCACGGCTGGGCGGCGCCCCGACGGCAGGCCCGAGCGTGTGGAAGTGTGCCTCATGCACGAGGGCCTCGTGGTCCAAGGAAAGTCTTCGTGGCAACAGGAATCGTCGCTGCCCTCTCAGGGAGCCCATCACCCTCGGCGCTGGAACCTGCTGTCTTCCGTGTTGCGGCCGGGGAAACCGAGGCATGGAGCAGTCACACGCTCTGCGCTGGCCCCAGGCCAGTTCGGTGGTGCAGACCGATGCGGACTGCCCACGCCAGGAAGCTGACGGCAGGGTCTGCCCTCCCTGTCTCCGCTGCGCCGCCTGAGAGAGAGCCTGTCATTGACCCACGAGCACCTGCCTCGCTGCTGGCCTTGTCCGGGCCCTGGGGTCCGCGGGGGCCCAAAACCACGCGAACGGAGAGAGGCTGCTGTGTGAGGAAGATGCTGGAGGCGGGAAGTTGGTCAGGGCAGCAGGACCCTCAAGATCAGAGGGCTCAAGAGAGTGATTAGACCATGGCAGCCATCACCACTTTAGTGTGAACTGGCTTGCTCTGGGCCCACCCTAAGTGTCTGGCTTTAGGGAACGCCAGGAGAACTGTGGCTGGTAACAAGCCCCTCAAAAATTTTTTTTTTTATCCTCACCCGAGGACATTTTTTTTGTTCATACAGAGTGGGAGGGAGGGAGAGGAAGAGAGAGAGAGAGAGAAACATCGACGTGAAAGGGACACATCAAGCCCTGGCCAGTTTGGCTCAGCGGTTAGAGCGTTGGCCTGCGGTCCGGAGAGACCCGGGTTCGGTTCCCGCTGGGGGCACATGCTTCGGTTGCCGTTTGTCCCCAGCCCTGGTTGGTCGCGTGGGTGGCAGCCACTCGATGTGCCCCTTCACATCGATGTTTCTCTCTCTCTCTCCCTTCCTCTCTCTCTCTCCCACTCTATCTGTACAAAAAAATGGAAAAATATCCTCGGGTGAGGATAAAAAAAAAAAAAAAAAAAAGGGACACATCAAGTGGCTGCCACCCACACGACCAACCAGGGCCGGGACAAACTCCAACCGAGGCACATGCCCTTAGCAGGAACCGAACCCGGGTCTCTGGACTGCAGGCCGACACTCTAACCGCTGAGCCAAACCGGCCAGGGCAGGCCCCTCGAATGTATAACCAGCTTCACTATGTCCTTGCCAGGCCCTGGTACCCCGGGCTGTGTTCTCACTGACTTCACTCGAACACTCCTTGGAAGTACACACTCATCTCAGTCCATTTCACAGATGGGCCCAGAGAGGTGGGGTCAACTGCCCGGGGCCACACAGCAGGGCAGTGGTGAAGCTGGGGTGCTGTTCTTCATCCGGCTGCAGCGGCCCCGAGCTCTCGACCGCGGTGTCACCAGGCCGCTTCCTGTCCCCCGTGTCTCCTGAGGCAGACCGTGTTTCTCTCCCTCGGGCTGAAGCTGGCAGGTCTTACCCTGGCTGACAGGAGGTGAACCCCACCCCAAAGACCATCCATCCTGTACACCACCCCCACTGGGTCTGCCTAGCCCATGTAAGAAGCCCCCAGGTATCTGCCAGTGGGCAGTAGACGGCCCTGCCTTGTAGACTTGTACTCATCCTGCAAAACCCAGCTGCAAAAGCCCCCCTTGGGGGAGGCTCTCTGACGAGGCTCCCAGAACCCACAGGTAACCTCAGCCGAGATGGTCTACGGGGCCAGCAGCAGCCTGGGGTCCTGCAGACCTTCAGCAGTCCCCCCAGGCTTTGCACAGAGCTCCAGGCAGAGCATGAGTCCCAGATCGGGTGGGATCTGAGTGCTGGGGTGCGGGCCTGGGCTGCCACCCCGGGACCATGGGCCTCAGTTCCCCCAGCTTCAGATGAAGTCCTGACACCGGCCCCACGGGGCCTGCACGTGAGTGTCAGGCACACCCTGTCCGCACCCAGGCGCCCACACGGGCCCCGGACCCCTGACCTCTCTGCAGTGGGCAACGCAGCCTGCGCGGCCGGAACCTCCTGCAGCCGCCGGCGGAGGGGAGGGGAACAGAAGTCGGACTATTTGAAATGGTGGCTGAGCGCGGGGACAGGCTTCCAGCTTTTTCGCTCTAAATTCTAAATTTAGACCCAGGGGTAAACAGAGCCCAGCAGCCTCTGATTTCAGAGGCCGGGGCGCGGAACAGAGCAGCCCGTGTTTGTCAAAGCCGTTTCCCGCCGCCCGGCTTCAGCAGACAGACGCAGCCTGTTCCAGGGCAGAGCAGGGAGTCAAGCCCTCCCGACACCCAGCACCAGGCGTGGGCGCCGCACGTGGGGCGCAGCGAGCTCTCGCCGCAGGGGCGGGGTCCCCACCGGCGGGCGGACAGGAGGGCCACCCCGCCAGCGAGCCGGCACCTTCGCTGCAGTTTGGAAACCGAGGCTCGGGGAGGGGAGGGGGGGCTGTCTCACGAAGTCCGCCCGGGACACCTGCCGTCCTGAGCTGAATCGTGTCCGCCCCCCAAGATGTGTGTCCGCCCAAACCCTCAAAATAGGAGCTCACATGGAAATAGGGCCTTTGTCAAGGCGATTAAGGTGAGGGTTACCCAGATGGGCCCTAAACCCAGTGACAAGTGTCCCTGTAAGAGACAGAAGATGTGGCCACAAGCCCAGGGCGCCTGGAGCCCCCAGGAGCTGCAAGAGGCAGGAAGGACCCTCCCGGAGCCTCGGAGGGAGCTGGGCTGTGCGGAACTTTGATCTCAGACTTCTGGGCTCCCCCGCCCGGCACAGCACGTGTCTGTTGCTTACGACCCCAGTCTGCGGGGCTCTGCAGTGGCGGCCCTGGGAGACGGACACCCCCACCGTCCCACGGAGGCACCGCCCTGCAGGCACATTCATTCATTCATTTGTGCAACAGACCCGGCTGGGCCGACAGGCTGAGGGCGCCCAGGCCACCCCACGGCACCTACAGCTGGGCGCACGGGTGTCTGCACCCGCAGCTTCCCCCCGGACTCCGCGGCTCTCCGAAGGAGGCACAGTGGACGGCACTCCCCGCAGCCCAGCCACCCCGCTGCGGGGGGACAGAGCCGCATGTCTCTGAGAAGCTGGTCTGCCTCCTGGGTGGCCCCAGATCAGAAAGAGCCTGGCCTGTGGCCCTTGCCCTGTTAGGGGCCCAGCGGCCTCGCCACCCATTGGGTAGAAGCCCCTTGTCTCTGTCTCTCGGGCGGGGCGGGGGTGCCCGTGGCCGGCGAAGGCAGGGGGACGCGAGGAGCCGCCGCAGAGCGACGGCCCGGCCACAGACGCGCGCTGGCTGGGAGCCCCGGCCCGGCGGCCCGGCTGCAGTTTCTGCCGCTCTGTTTGTCCGAGACGCGCCAGGAACACAGCCCATAACTCACGCTGTGGGGGCCGCCCGGACAGCTGCAGGGCAGCCGGGCTGTGAGTGGGAGCCGTTTGCCCCCGGGCCCGGGTGTCGGGGGCCCAGGGCAGCCCAGGGCCCGGCGGGAACAATGGCCGGGCCAGGGCCCACGGTGGCCGAGGCTGGGGCTGCAGCTGACAGCGAGGCCGGGGCACCGGTGCCAAGCCGGGCACAAAGGGGCCGTTTTCCTGGCTGGCGGGCGGATGTTTGCACAGGTGTGGGAGTGGGCGCGCCGCTGTGCCGAGGGCGGGGGCAGGGGGAGCCTCCTGCCGCAGCTCCAGGAGCAGCCCAGAGGTGGGGGGCAGCACCAAGGCCAGGCCCCACTTACTAGCTGAGCCCCAGCATGCACCCTCAGCTTCCAGTCCCCTAGGAGCCCCCCGCCCCTCGCCAGGACCTGCCCACCACAGGCTCTCTGCTGAGGGCTGAGCCCCCTCAAAGCTGCTGGGCTGCCGCACCCGGGCCTGCAGGGCACACACGGAGGAGGGAAGGGGTGCGGAGGGGCTGGAACCAGGCCCTCCCCGCTGCGGGAGCGGGTCAGCCTGCCCTTGCCTTCACTGAGCTGCCTGGCACATTGGAAGCTTCCAGAAAACACAGGAGCCCTCCCTGTGAGCCTGGCCTCCCAGGGTGGGGACACAGAAGCAGCTATGGCCTGTGCCTGCCTGGGACCACAGAGGGGTCTCCCCCCACCCGGGACAAGCTGGGGTGGGCCGCCCTTCTTGGAAGGAGAAACACGGCCCGGCCTTGGAACAGCCCCTGCCCAGTGCCCCTCGGACCCTGTGCTGTCCCCAAGGCCTGCCACCCTCCCCGGCCCTGGCACAGCTCAGGGCACTGCTGTGGCTCCGTATGACCCCAGCCCAGAGCGCTGTGCCCGCAGGGAAGGCGGCAGTGAGGCCCAGCCTGCACCCTGGCCCCCACAGCCATGTCCGCCGGTGTCCACCCAGCTGTGCAGACAGGACTTCCGGCTTTGGGGCTTGAAGTCCCCATCAAGGAGGCAGAACATCTCGAAACACCAGAGCCCGAGGGCCAACGGGCGATGAACTGTCCCCTCTGCTGCTCGGGCCCAGGGGCAGGAGCTCTCGGCCCGCACGCAGGACAGCGCCTCCGGAAGGCCCGACTCACCACTCCCCACCACAGGGCGTCCGCGTAGCTGCCGAACTCGACGCGGCCAGACTCGTTCACGGCGTCCTTCTCGGCCAGGTACACGAAGTAGGAGGAGAAGATGAGGCCCAGGAAGCCGATGTACAGGGTGGTGATCAGCTCCTGGGGCGGGCGGGCGGGCGGGCGGTCAGCGCAGCCAGCAGGCCGCCGGGGACACTGCACCGACCGCCAGTTCCACAGGATCCCGCCGCGTCTCCCGCGGACATCAGATTCACAGCGACCTATTTCTCAAAACTCTGACCTATTTCTCAAAACTCTGACCTATTTCTCTAAACTCTAAGAAATGACCGCTGCGCGGGGGGTGGGGGTCTCGCCCCCCAGGGCCGGGCAAGTCCCACCATCTGGGCAGGCGGACTGGGCTGGCACGGGCTCCACTGACTGTCCGGCTCCCTTCCCCCGGAACCTGAGGCGACGGAACGAGCCGCTTGGCCTTCCTGGGGCTGCTCTTGGCTCAGTTTTAGGTTCGGAGCCTCTTAGGCCTTTTCCTGTAGTTCATGTCTGTCCTTCCCTTTACCCAGTAGGCCCTTGTCCCCGGCTTGAAGGACCGTGGGCACATCAGCAGACTGGCAGGCTGGGATGCCAGCACCACAAGCCGCTGCCCTCCCCGCCCCCGCCCGGGCCCCCACCTGGCGGTGGATGAAGACCACGGAGCCCAGCAGCCTCCAGGTGCCCCCCTGGCGGTCGACGTGCAGCATCCGCAGGATCTGGAGGAAGCGGATGCCCCTGCGGAGAAGACGCCCGTGTCCCCACTGGGTACGCCCCCCAGAGCACCCGACCGCCCTCGGTGCCTCCCTCGAACCTGGCCGTGAGCCCGCCCCCGGCCCCCCAGCATGGGGCCAGACCACACGCCTCCTCGTTCCCCGTGCCCCGGTGGCCTTCAGCCAGATCCCCCTAGTTTACAGACGAGCAGACTGAGGTCCCCGATGGGGAGGTCACGGCCTCAGCCAGCAAGCGAGAGCTCGTGTGGGGGCTGGAACCCTAGCTCGGCGGCTCGGGCCCTGGGTCCCGCCCTCCTCCCACCCTCCTCCCGCCCACACGCTGCCCAGGGCTCCCGAGAGCGGCAGCGGGCGTACCTGATGGCCGAGGTGGCGAACACCTGCCCTTTGGAGCCCACGCAGAGGACCACCATGGAGGCGACCACCACGATGAGGTCTAGGAGGCAGCAGGTGTCCACCGTCACCAGCCGGGCAGCGGCTCAGAGGGCCGAGTCTGGCAGTGGGGCGGGACGGGGCCCCACAGAGGGACATACGGGGCCTCGGACGGGAGCCCCAGCCCCGTCTCAGGCACCTGCAGAGCCCACCCGATCCCACCCCTCAGCCCTGGCCACAGGCCGCTGAGGGCACCGGACACCCACACTGTCCCAAGCTCGACCAAAAGCCCATCCTGTGAGCAGCGTCTGAGGGCAGGGGGCTGGGTGTTGAGGCTGGAGGCCCTGGGAGGTCACCCCGCTGGCTTTGGGGTCCTCCCCGTCAGAGGCAGAGTGGCCTGGGGGTCCTCCGTCCGCGGGGACTCTGGCCGGGGGTGCTCGTGATGGGGGTCTGCCCTGCCAGCCCCGCCCTCCCAGGGTGCAGGTGCCAGCCTGAGGCCCCAGGGTGAAGGGCTGGGGCAGCCGTAACTCACCGATGATGGAAATGGGCTTCCGGGCGAAGCGCAGCCGCCCCCAGAGGCCCACGTACTTGCTCCTGCAACCTGCTGACCAGAGGCGGACCACGTACTCTGTCCCAAAGAACACGACCAGGACAATCTCCTGTGGGGAGAGAGACCGTGAGCTCACCTGCGGCTGGGCCCGGGCACCGGGAGCCTCCGCCGAGAGGCACCGACAGCAGCTGGCCTGCTGGGATGGGAAGAGCCCGCGCTGCCCACCTGGCCAGGCCCCTGCTCTTCAGACCAGGGCCCTTCCAGGCCCGGGCACATCCACCCCAGGCCCGGGAGCCTGAGGCCTGGGGCCTACAGCCCGTGCATGTTTAAAGCATTGAACCCCAAAGCTGTGCATCCCAGCTCGGGGTGCAGACAGCCTCTGCCCTCATGGCTCCGCCACGCCTGTGCCTCACAGGGCCACCGGACGCCGTATCCTGGGTCACTGGTCAGCCTTCACAGGGCTCCAGGAAGCTGGCCCACCACAGGAGGAGCAGGGCCCGGGCATCACTGGCACCGTGCTGAGAGGCAGGGCAGGTACAGTGTCGGCTGCGACAGTGCCACTGGGCAGACCCCTTGCCACGGTCAGGGCTCCAGAAGAGTGGGTGCCACACGTCAGTCTGTAGTCGGGGGCTTGGGGGGAGGCCAGGAGCCAAGGACTAGCATCTGGGTCACAGTGGATGGTGCACAGTGGACAGACAGACGGAGGGAGGAAGGGAGAGAGGGGTGGGTGGATAGACGAGTGAAGACAGGTGGTGTAAGAATCGGTCTCTAAAGGAAAGCCCTCTATGCCCGCAAGCTGGACAACCGAGATGCAATGGACGAATTCCCAGAGACGTACCGCCTCCCAAGACCAAACCATGAAAAGGTAGAAAAGCTGATAGACCTGTAACTGGTGAGGGGATTGAGTCAATAATCAAAACCCCCCAAGAAAGGAAAGTCCTGGGCCTGGTGCTCTACTGGTGAATTCTACCAAACATTTGGAGAACTAATACCGATCCCTCTCAGACTTCCCCCAACAATGTAAGAGGAGGGAACACTTTCTAACTCATTCTGTGAGTCCAGCATTACCTTATACCAAAGCCAAAAAATAAAAAGACACTACAAGAAAGAAAAGAAAAGAAAAGACTCATATCTATTATGAACATTGATGCAAAAATCTCCAATAAAATACAGGCACATGGAATTCTGCAGCATGTTGAACAGATTATGCACAGTGACCAAGTGGGATTTATTCTTGGAATGCAAGGACGGTTCAGCCTATGAATATCAATCAATACAATACATCATACTAACGGAATGAAGGGGGGAAAAACACATGATCTCAACCGACTCAGATAAAGCGTTTGACAAAATTCAACACCCTTTCGGGATAGAAAACACTCCACACACTGGCAGGCGGAAGAAACGGCCTCCGTGTAATAACAGTTATAAGAAAAAGCCACATCAAACGTCGGTCATCGGTGATAAAAGACGAGCGTTTCCCCCCTGGGATCAGGAACGCAGCGAGGAAGCCCACCTCACCACCTCTACTCCGCGCAGTCCTGGGTCGTAGTCAGGCAGGAGAGGGGGACATGAGGCACCACGCGGGGGGTGGGGGAGCAATGCAATGATCTCTGTTTGCAGACGATACGGACTTGCCTGTGGAAAACCCTAATGATACCACAAAATACAGTTACAACCCATAAACGAGTCCCGCCGAGGAGGATGAAAAGTCAACACGCACAAATCGTTGCCTGTCTGTATCAGTTACATTGTTTCCACAAACAATGGGCGATCTGAAAAGGAAGCTACAAAAACAATTCTGTTTACGCTGGGCCGGCACACCGGCCTAGCCGCAGGTGGGAAATGCTGCCTACAGAAACCAGAGACAGCAAATAAATGGCAACACGTCCCAGGCTCATGGATGGGGAGAGGTGTCGCCGTGAGGGTGTCGCCACGCCGCAGGGGGAGCTGCAGATCCAAGGGGACGCCTCTCCAGAGCCCGAGGGCGTGTTTCGCAGAAATAGAAAAAAGCCATCTTAAATTTATAGGGACTCTCAAGGGACACAAACTAGCAAAAACGACACGTGGTCCATCCACACAATGGAATATCACTCAGCCTGCAAGAGGAAGGAAATCTTGACAGGCCACAGTGTGGATGGACCTGCGGGCCATTGTGCTCAGTGACATGAGATGATCGGGACCTGCTTCCAGCTGCCCGTCCTCCCCCGAGCCTGGCCCTGGCGGGGGCTTCTGTTCCCACGGGTGACAGAAGCAGGCCCTGCTCCAGTGCCTCCCCGCCCCGGAGCCCGCAGCGGGTGCTGGACACTGCCGGCTGGCGCTCATGTGTTGTTCATTAGGACGAAATAATACGTATCCCGTCCGGCTTGTGCCTGGGGCGAGCTGGGTGGGTAACGGGAGAACGTGTGGGAATACTGACTGCTTTCCTTTTGCAAAAAGTTTCTCGGTTTGTAACGTGGAGTCCTCCAGGGGGCCGGGGCGTGTGGTTCGGGGCACGTGGGAGATGGTGGCAGAGCGAGTGGGCGTGGGCCCCGGCCGCATGGTGGGGTCCTGGTCCTTCCTCTCTCCTCAGCTTCAGGGGCCGTGGCTTTGGCTGGGAGCTGGCTGAGCCCGCAGGGGAGAGGACACGTTTCCCTGTCCACACCCTCTCCCCAGCCCCAGAACAGATCCTGCCCTGATGGGCACTTGACACAGCCTAAAAGGAGGGAAGAACGAACAGACCGACGCCAGCCGGCGGGAGCTCCCTGGTAGCGGCTTTGTCTTGTTCACTGGGTTCCCGAGCGTCTTGCCCACAGGAGTGGGGAGCCCCACACACCGTGGGGCTGGCCGGGCCCTTAGCAGGCTCTTGTTTCAATACCTCCTTCCGCCCTGTCCGAAGCAGACCCGAAGTACTAGACCTGAACGGAAATGCCCATCGGGAATCTCTGCTGGGGCTGCGTGACCCGGTTCTCCGGGCCTCACGCTCCAGGGGACCCCGGCGGGGAGCTCGGCGCCCCGCCCTCGGGAGCAGCCGGGCGAGAGGCAGGATCCGCGCGGGAGGGTGAGGTGTAGGAATGGTTTTAAACAATGCTAATCCCCAAATCCTGTTTGAGTCTGGGACGCAGAGCCGGCCGGCTGGCTGCCGGGCTCACCGTATCAAAGTGGCCCCAGGCCTGGGCTCACGGATGTGGCTGCCGGCCCTGGGGAGGGGCAGCACGGAGGCCCCAGCTTGCTCGGGGATCAAGTGATCTCCATGTGCCTCAGGTGCTGGGCGGGATGGCACTCGGGGCCAAGGCCAAGGCTGGACCTCAAAACTGGGCACCCTCGACGGGACACCCGGGTCAGGGATAGCCATGAGCTCTACCGTGCGAGGACAGGGGCTCGTGTCGGGTGGGACAAAGGACCCCTCCCGCCAGGTCACAGACCCTCAGGCAACAAGACCACCTCCTCGCTGCAGCTGGCTTCATGGCCGGGGCCTCGGGGCCAGTCTGGGTGCTGGGACTGGGGTGTAGACCCGACCAGCCAGACTTGAGGACACAAGGACACGAGGGGTCCGAGCAGCCAACCGGCACCCCCATCCCCACTGACATGAGTGGGGGTACTGGGGGGCTCTCAGAGGTATTATGGGTATAACAGAGAATAATTGTTAAAGACAAAGCTCCTGACGAACACTCATCAAACAGTGGCAAAGACCTTGCCAGGTGTCTCTCCCAGGAAGACACAAAGGGTCAGTAAAGCACATGACAGACCAGAACAGGCGTCGGCGAGCGCGTGGAGGGACCAGAGCCCGTGCGGGGGACGTGGAGGGACCAGAGCCCGTGCGGGGGACGTGGAGGGACCAGAGCCCGTGCGGGGGACGTGGAGGGACCAGAGCCCGTGCGGGGGACGTGGAGGGACCAGAGCCCGTGCGGGGGACGTGGAGGGACCAGAGCCCGTGCGGGGAACGTGATGTGGGGGACGTGGAGGGACCAGAGCCCGTGCGGGGGACGTGGAGGGACCAGAGCCCGTGCGGGGGACGTGGAGGGACCAGAGCCCGTGCGGGGGACGTGGAGGGACCAGAGCCCGTGCGGGGGACGTGGAGGGACCAGAGCCCGTGCGGGGGACGTGGAGGGACCAGAGCCCGTGCGGGGGACGTGGAGGGACCAGAGCCCGTGCGGGGGACGTGGAGGGACCAGAGCCCGTGCGGGGGACGTGGAGGGACCAGAGCCCGTGCGGGGACGTGGAGGGACCAGAGCCCGTGCGGGGGACGTGGAGGGACCAGAGCCCGTGCGGGGGACGTGATGTGGGGGACGTGGAGGGACCAGAGCCCGTGCGGGGGACGTGGAGGGACCAGAGCCCGTGCAGGGGACGTGGAGGGACCAGAGCCGTGCGGGGGACGTGGAGGGACCAGAGCCCGTGCGGGGGACGTGGAGGGACCAGAGCCCGTGCGGGGGACGTGGAGGGACTAGAGCCCGTGCGGGGACGTGGAGGGACCAGAGCCCGTGCGGGGAACGTGATGTGGGGGACGTGGAGGGACCAGAGCCCGTGCAGGGGACGTGGAGGGACCAGAGCCCGTGCGGGGGACGTGGAGGGACCAGAGCCCGTGCGGGGGACGTGGAGGGACCAGAGCCCGTGCGGGGGACGTGGAGGGACCAGAGCCCGTGCGGGGGACGTGATGTGGGGGACGTGGAGGGACCAGAGCCCGTGCGGGGGACGTGATGTGGGGGACGTGGAGGGACCAGAGCCCGTGCGGGGCCGGGGCCGCTGCGGCTGCCGTGTGGGCAGGACGGAGGGGCCCCAAGTAAACCTAGAACCACCAGGTGACCAGCCACCGCCTCTGGTCCAGACTCAGAAGTAAGAGCCAGTCAGTTACAGCAGCCAAGGGGTGGGGACAGCCCGAGTGTCCATGGATGGAGGGGGGACACACAGAACATGGTCTGTCCACACAGGAGGTTATCTCAGCCTTGAAGGGGAAGGACAGCCTGACCCTGCGGCGTGGACGGACCCGGAGGACATGTGCTGAGGGAACGAGCAGACACAAAAGGACACACTGTGATCCGTCTTTCTCAAGGTCCCTAGAGGAGTCAGATCCATAGACAGGAAGTGGGTGGCAGGTGGCGGGGTGGGGGCAGGGCGAGTGTTTAATGGGGA